CTCCGCCATGGCCCCCCGGTCTGCCTGTTCCGCCATGGCTCCCTGTTCTGCCTGCTCCGCCATGGCTCCCCGTTCTGCCATGGCTCCCCGATCTGCCTGTTCCTCTTCACGGGCCTGGCCCTCCATCCTGCCCCCTGGACCACCTCCAGTCCTCCACCCTCCTGGACATTGTTTTGGTTGGGGTGGATGTTACTTTAGGGCGTCAGGAGCCGCCCTTAGAGGGGGGGATATGTAATGTGGTGTTTTGTTTCATGTTCATGTTTTCCATGTCTTTTATTTTGTAATTGTTTCATGGTCCATGTTAGTGTAATGCTTCCCTTTCCTCATGTCTCTCTGCCTTGTGTATGTGTCATGTTCTGATTGGTAGTCTTAGTCATGTGTCTTGTTCCCCATTGGTTTGTTCATGTCATGTGACCCTCCTTGTCTGCTATAAGTAGCCTTCATGTTCCCATTGTGCCTTTGTCGTGTATTGAACGTATTTAACCCGCTGTTGGTGAGTCTAGTCTGTTTGTCAAGTCTGCTCATGCTATGTCTGGTCAAGTCTGTGTCTTGGATTATTGTTTGGATCACTCTGTAAATAAACTGCACTTGGGTTCTCACTACGCTCGCCTTCAGTGGATTGACTCTTTACACATATCACAGTTGTCTGCTGCCTTCTCCATGGTCAGCACTCCAAAGAAAATTTTCCCCAAAGAAAATTTCATTTAGAATTTGTTTGTTCATCTGTATCATTACCTTATTTGCTTAATTCCTTTAGTGAATTGGGTGGCAAAACAATGCAAATAGCATGTGTAAATAAACACTGCTCTCAGTGGATGTGATTCTTAGTGAAATCTCGCCTTAATCTGTGTTTCCTTCATTGCTGCAGTCTGTATAGCCGTTGCAGTCTGGCAGACCTTGTTTGCTACTCTTCTGCCAGATGTGGTGCATTTGGGAAAACATATGTTCCATTGTAGCTTAGGTCTGATAGGGTTCTATGAGGCTGCAATGGCCAAACTCAGATTTCTCTGAGGCTTTGGCTTATGGCTGCTCGACATGGCTACCTAGCATCGTTTTCCCCTGTAGAAGAACTATATCTGGAAGACGCCTTAGGGGTCCTGTGCAGCATTGTGACTCTTTGCCCTAAGACAACCAGATGGCCTGAACCATTCATTGTTTTTTCTCCTTTTCTTCCTTCTGTCTGTGACACAGTTCATTTTTTTCAGTATTTCTATTTCACTGTCATATTTTGTATTTCTTTTTCTGTCTGCGTTTTCAATGTTTGTCTAAATCCATATTAACGTCAGTACCAGTATATATGTCTGCTAAACACCTTACAGGAATATTCCCGGTTCAGTTAAGCTTAATTGACACTTCTGTCATAATGTTGTCTTTAAAAAAAGATAGAAGAAATCGCTTACTAAACCTTTCTGTGTAAATTTATAGCCATTTTGTTTGTGACCGCATAAGACTATAATATCTAAAATGCCATAAACCATATGTTAACATGATATAAATGTTTATATATATATATGTAAATTTACAGTAGGTCCGATTTTAAAATTTTTGTTAACATGACATCATACATGCTATAAACCCTAAAAGCAAGGGTTTGAGCAGTTTGAGCAGTTTTACTCTTTGTGGTAATAAACATTATGCCATAAATGCTTTACTTCTATTGATTGGGTTTAACTTGTAGTGAACCCAGAAAGTTCCTTTAACTTATATGTAGCCAGTTGGCCTTTCTGATTTAAAATTGTCCCCCGCTGAATGGGTTTGAACAGACTAGTGTTCTATTTTCATACATCCTACCAATAAGTGCACACGGCTGATTTCCCCTCCTTATCCCTTCACTGAGTTCATTGTTCATGTGGCCATGCAGAAAGACTTCCCCTCTATGTCCCTATTGTAATGAGAGAGAGAGAGAGTGGCTCCAAGACTCCCAATGTGTTCAGACTTACTCTGGTACTGTATTGTTGTGTTTAAACATTCATGAGAAGTGACTTAAATGGGAGAGCCACACTGTTATTAATGTTTTGCTTTTTTCCCACCCTGTAAGCTTTTAAAAACAGTCAATCCTGAAGGCGAAAAAAAGAATGGATGAGATTAATGAAACAAAAATGGTATTCACATTGGCACATATACACTTTGTACAGTCACTTGGTGAAGATCCTCCTTTGTAGGACTCAGCTGACCCAAATGACTTTAGGGTTATTGAGATCAAAAGAAAAACTTCCTATCAGTCTTTATTAATGAGAAAGCAATGACTTCAAACGAGGCTCCCCGTTGGATGCAACATCTACCTTCAAGTCTCCACTATGTCATAATGCTTTCATTTTAAAGTCATAAAGAAATATTATGCCTTTGTGAAGTGCCCCCAAGGGTTCATAACAGTTTCTGTTTTAAAAAATGAATAGACAAGGAAAGAGTAGGCTGCGACATGTTGATGGCACAGACTTTAGAAATAGGACATGGGTACACAAAAATATGGGAGTTTTTTGGAAGGAAGGGATGGGGAAGAACAGTTTTCACTGGCATCAGCATTTGAAGGAGCCTCGGTGGAAATCAGCATGGGCTTTTTGGCTGAGGAGCATGATGCCAGCAGCGCTACTAGTTGTGTGGAAAAGTGTGTTTGTGTGTAAAGTAAACAGGAAGAAATGTAGAGAGGAGGCAAAGAATTGTTTCCTGTTGCGGATACAGCATTTTGTTGCTCTATGTTGCAGGATGGACCAAGTTTGCCAGGCTGACCAGGGCATTAACCAATAGCCGGAGTACACTTCAGCAGCTCACACCTATGAACAAGACTGAGGTCAGCCACAAGCATTCACGACTGGCAGAGGTGAGTGTCACACACATTTGTTTTTCTTGGGTTAGGACTTTCCATTGACTTCTATTGTTTTTATACTAATGATATCTAATGATATTTTCTTTTTCATACACTTGACCTTCATATAAGCCTTTTTGCATTTTTAGATTTTCATTAAACTGTATTCAGCTTTTTTTCCTCGCAAGGACCTTTGGCTGGTCAGGTTTTGTAGCTGATCTTCATTTACTGCCTATTTGGACCTCACAGTGTAGGCAAAACCTGACCCCCACACATATATATCCAGATACAAAAAGGACAACTGCCTTTTTCTTCAGTCACAATGATAGTTTGTCTTCCAGACAAATAATAGTTGACTCAGCTGTCCAAAGACTGATGACGTAAGCTTTATGTCTCTAAAACTTTTCACTAGGTGAGTGTTTATGGTGCCCTTTCATGAGGTAATTCATGAGGTATATGTTCCTTACAGTGCACAATTTTGACAGGGCAAAAGACCAGCTTAGACCAGCATGAATTTTCATGGTGGTCTTGCTGCACTGAAAAAAAATAATTTTCCTAATCAGTATTTTGTCTTAAATCAATTAAAATGTCCTTAAAACAGTAACAATTTTGCTGTCCAGTGGTCATGATTTAATATAGCAATTTCTGTATTGCATTAGTTTTGAATATTTCTCATGGACATTTTATATATAATTTTTTTTAGTGTGAGTTAAATAAATTTTTTGGTGCTTTTTACCCATAAAAGAAAACCTGCTTAATAATAATGCACCCCTGAGTATAAGGCAGTTTTCACTTCCAGCCCTTGTTAACAATTATATATGACTTATAAATGATTAAATACAAAATTAATAGTAGTTATTAAGATTGATGTTGTTTGGAATTGGTCAAATGGGCTTGCAAAAAAATATGACCAGAATACCAACTTACATAATAATTATGCACGCACTGTATATAAGCACATGCTGCATTTTTGTCGTCTGCTTCTTTAAATGATTGAGCTCTTTAAAGTCAAGCATAAAGGGTGAATTCTGATTGGATGTGAGTTTCTATTGTTCTGTAGCTGGAAAAATCATTCTGAAAGTGATTCCAACAATATTGTTGTGTCGTTATTGTTGTAGTTGTGTTGTGGATGTCGCTGTGCTCATATAATTATTTAAACTTTATAGTTATTGTTATTGTCCTTGCATGGTGAGAATGGGCCTTTATGCTTAAATCAACAAAAAACTATGCAAATAAATTAAACTTGTTGAAATTATGTTAGCATATATTTAATGGAAAACAAGACAAAAACATTGAGGGAAAAAAAACAGTTTGGTAGGCCAGCATAGCATAATGTTCATCAACAAAACTGGTCGTTTTTAAAGCAAAGCTGGTTGATGAAGATAGACTTTGGTCAAGCACTTAAGAAAGCTCGTAATGACACCAGAACATTTTTTTTTTGATGTGTCTTTTTAATTCAACTTTAGTTAACTTCAGTTTCTGTCTTTCCAAGGCTCTTCAGCTGGGCTCTGACATCCTTCCTCAATACAAGCAAGAGGCTCCTAAAACTCCACCTCACATTATATTGCACTACTGCACCTTTAAGACCACTTGGGACTGGGTCATCCTCATCCTCACCTTCTACACGGCCATCATGGTGCCCTACAATGTGTCCTTTAAGACCAAACAGAACAACCTGGTGTGGTTGGTACTGGACAGCGTGGTGGATGTCATCTTCTTAGTGGATATTGTGTTGAACTTTCATACAACTTTTGTAGGACCTGGAGGAGAGGTCATATCTGACCCAAAGCTCATACGCATGAACTACTTGAAGACCTGGTTTGTCATAGACCTGCTGTCTTGCCTGCCCTATGACATCATCAATGCCTTTGAAAACGTGAATGAGGTAAGCACAACATTAAAGAGAGACATTTATTTGAGCAATATCAATGTAGCTACGGTATATACTGTATATATATATATATATATATATATATATATATATATATATATATATATATATATATATACATATATACAAACACACTGTTTACACAAAAATATTAGGCAGCACAACTGTTTTCTTCATTGCTAATAATAATAATAATAAATGTTTGTTGATCTGCAAACCAGCATATTAGAAAGACTTCCGAAGGATCATGTGACACTTTTGACTGAAAATTTAGCTTTAACATCACAGGAACAAATACGATTTTTAAATATATTGAAGTTGAAAAGTTCTTTTTAATTCTAATAATATTTCATCCTATTACTCTTTTTACTGTATTTTTGATCTAATAAATACAGTCTTGGTGAGCATAAGAGACTTCTTTCAAGAACATTAAAAGTTCTTACTGACCCCCAACCACTTATAAATCAGTTAGCAGCTTTTCAATTAATCTGACTCACTTGATGAGTTCTGTGAGTGGTATTTTATAAAAATAAGGGAAATAATGAAATATATGTGACCACAATTTTTGGTTTTGTCATTTTATACTTATTACTGAAACGATCATAGCATTGCAGAATAGCATATCTTTTTTTCCCAAATGTTCCTTCCTCAAATTCAAAATTAATTGAATGATTAAGGAATCAGTATATTTAAGAGGAATTCGAATCGTTACCAGAATGGTTAAATTCCTTAAGATCTCCATCCCTAACCGTAGTTTATATCCTCTGATTCACTGACTTGGATGTGTGATGAATGATGTGATCATCCCAGTTCATCAGTAGAGATTTGTTTTTATTTGTTGATCTCTGCTGTCATAATGACTTTACGAAATACTTTTGTACCTTGAATGATGATTTAACTGCAGAAGACCTTGAAACAATTTACTCTGCATTGTTTTTCGTCCAAAAATCTTTTTGTTTACAGTTTATTTGATCAGATATAACATATTTGAATGTTCTCAAATGACCAGCTATAGACAAAAGCACAAATTGATAAACCTTCATCTTCTTTGCTTTTATTACTTTTGGTGTTATGTTTATGGAGTACTCCAGTCAAATTTTCTGTGCTCAGCTCTTGCACTATAATTGATCCTCCTCTGTTACTAAAGTTGGTGATTATTCATCTATGCATCTTGTTTGTGGTAATTAATGTTTGCACAGGACTTCTCCAGCATACATTTCCATTTCTTAGTGAGAAGAAACGAATGCAGCTTGTGTTTTTCTCCTTCCCTTATGCAAGTGGTATTGCATGTGTGTTTTTGTGTCAGGAATGCTTTATTTTTCTTGCAAGAAAGGAGTGGGATTGAGTGGACCCCCTTCCATTCTGAGGCTGAAACTCTGACGTGAAAACTATCATTATTGCCATCTCTTTCCGTATCAGTGGCTGCTCACGGTACTGGGCATTAGACTAAATGGTCTCAACCCAGCCAGACAGTTCAATGATAATTGGGCTGCTTGATTTCTATGGAATGCCAAAGCTGACTTAATTTGAAATAAATAAAGAAAGAAATGTACAAAGAAATGTAAAAAAGCAAATATATATATATATGGCTTGCTTAGTTGGGGACGCTTGACTGATTGCACAGACACTATTGAAGAGAGCTGAACTGGATGATGACATCACTGAATCATCAATGAACTGACTTTAGCTGAAATATGACTCTGTTGTCTTCTTGCATTGTTGACAATCTATTTTCCTGTTTGACTCTGTAAAGCTGCTTTGACACAGCCAGTATTGTATAAAGCGCTTTACAAATAAAGGTGACTTGACACTTCTCGTGTTTATTGCCATCCTATGATGAATCACTTGTTGTATATCGAATGCCAATCCTGCCATAATTAGAAATACATAAATGTACAAATAAATGTAAAAAAGCAAAAATAAATATATAAATATACAAAGAAAAGTAAAAAAGCAAAAATAAATAATTATTTATAATTTTATTTCCTTATTTATGTATTTTTTTAAACATTGTTTTTCCACATTTATTTATTTTTTTCTTCATAACAAATTTTAAAAGTAAAAAAAAAAGAAATTAAAAGTTAAGAAAGAATGAAATTAGCCTGTAGGCTATAGATCTATAGGCTAATTTTCTTAACTTTTATTAGACTGCAGATCGGAAAAAAAATAATTCTTGATCATCTTTAAAATGAGAGAAATCACGGACAAAATTTAGGCTACTTTTTTCGACTGCAGAAAAAAATGGAACCATTTAATTTGCAGTGTTAACTTATGAATTAAATGAAAAACAAGAAATAAATCACAACAAGAACAATAGTTCCCTTTCGAAAGGGAACTCAACGCTGCGTCCTCTAGAGGGTGCTAGGGGAATGCCTTCAGCGTGACCGGTGTCTGAAGCATGAAATGAAAAAATTACAATGAACTTGACATTGGCAGGTGGCAGCCTATGACGTAAATAATAAAGCGAATGCAGGTATAAAAGAGCACCTGCGGAAAACGTCATCCTCTTCTTTGTCTTCAAGCCTTGTGTACGGAAGCACATGCATTTGTCTCACGGGGGGTAAGGATGCGCTCACTGTTTGCATTCGCGGAACTACTAACTCAGCGTTTGCACGAGCGTGTTCGCCTCTCAAGGGAGTTGAACAAGCTTAATGCAATGCATTCGCGGCGGTTCTGTTCTTGCCTGATTCTTGAGAGAATTTAGTGTTTGAACAAAGTGTGTTTGGCTCTCGATGGAGATTAGCCACGCTGCGAGATGTGATCGCGTTGAGAATGCCTCTATGCCTGATTCTCTTTGAGAATTGAGCGCCTCTCACCTGCGTTTCGGGTCTCATCCTCTCAGCCCAGGACGTGAATATTTAGGGTGAGCATAGAAAAGGAGTTATACTGCGCACTCTGCTCCTCAGTATTTTTATTTGCAGTTATTTCAGGGTTTTTGAGGCTCTCTGTGAGCCTCCCTGATCAGCTGTTCATGAGCCTGGTAGCTTCCCCCCCCCCCTCTCCCTTTGAGGGTCGCTATGCTGAGATCCATAAGGGTGGGTGGTTGCACTCCCCCTTGCTTTAGAGCAGGGATACTCAAATCTGGACCATGAGATCCACTTTCCTGCAGAGTTTAGCTCTAACCCTAATCAAACACACCTGAGCATGCTAATCAATGTCTTTGGAATCATTAGAAAATCACAGGCAGGTGAATTTGATCAGGGTTGGAGCTAAACTCTGCAGCGCATTGGCCCTCCGAGGCAAGATTTGAGGAACCCTGCTTTAGAGGGTTGGTATGTTGAGTGCTTGCTCCCTAGAGCTCTGTTCGGCACTTAGGAGCATGGCCAGTACTCCTAGCTTAGTACTCCAGCTTTGAGTCGTTAGGCAGTGTACTCCGCTCCCTAGAGCTCCGCTTAGACAGTACTATTAGCATGTAGGCTCTATCGTGAGCCTCACTAACAGTGTCTAGCGTTGAGTGTGGTCAGGTCTCCTCTCGTTTTGAGAGTCGTTATGCTGAGACCTCCACTTTTTAGAGCTTCTCTATGAGGGTTGAGCGTTGTTAGGTTTCCTCTCGTTTAAGAGAGTCATCTTGCTGAAGCCTCCGCTCCCCAGAGCTCCGCTTAGGCAGTAATATGAGTTGTAGGCTCTTTCTTTTTGAGCCTCACTAACTGCCTCTGGCGCTGAGTGTAGTCAGGTCTCCTCTCGTTTTAGAGAGTCGTTGTGCTGAGACCTCCGCTCTTAAGAGCTCCTAAACTAGGATTGAGTGTTGTTGGGCTTCATCTTGGTTAAAAGTCATTCTGCTGAAACCTCTGCTCTCCAGAGCTCCGCTTAGGCAGTACCATTACTTTGTAGGTTCTTATGTGAGCCTCGCTAACTGTCCCTAGCGCTGAGTGTAGTCAGGTCTCCTCTCGTTTTAGAGAGTCGTTGTGCTGAGACCTCCGCTCTTTAGAACTCCGTCTTTGGCAGTAATATGAGTTTGTAGGCTCTTTTCTTTTTTGAGACTCACTAGCTGCCTCTGGCATTGAGCGTAGCTAGGTCTCCTCTCACTTTAGACAGTCGTTATGCTGAGACCTCCACTCTTAAGAGTTCCCCTACCAGGATCGAGTGTCGTTAGGCTTCCTCTCGTTTAAGAGAGTCATCCTGCTGAAGCCTCCACTCT